ATGCTTTCATTAGCGATGGACGCAATTTTGAGGGTTTTAGCTATGCTTTCATTAGCAACTAAGCTAATGAACGCAATTTTGAGGGTTTTCGCTATGCTTTCATTAGCAACTAAGCTGATGAACGCAATTTTGAGGGTTTTAGCTATGCTTTCATTAGCAACTAAGCTAATGAACGCAATTTTGAGGGTTTTCGCTATGCTTTCATTAGCAACTAAGCTAATGAACGCAATTTTGAGGGTTTTCGCTATGCTTTCATTAGCAACTAAGCTGATGAACGCAATTTTGGGGGTTTTCGCTAAGCTTTTATTAGCAACTGAGCTAATGAACGCAATTTTGAGGGTTTTCGGTATGCTTTCATTAGCGATGGACGCAATTTTGAGGGTTTTCGGTATGCTTTCATTAGCGATGGACGCAATTTTGAGGGTTTCGCCACGCTTTGCGTAGGATCAGAGGGTGCTCGGGTGGGGTCTATGCGTCGGACCCCATCTATGAAACCAGCCTGTTGGTACGGCTGTAGACCGCGAGGCCTGCCATCTCTTGGCCTCGCGGTAAGGGCGCACGCCGGAGGGGCGCGTCCTCCCTTTCAAGGGAGGAACCTACGCTCCTCTTCGGGGTCCTCCTTTGGGAGGGTCTCGAAGGGGAGTGAAGGGAAGCGCTTCAAAGGCGGGAAGGGGGAAAGGGGGATGAAGAAAGGAAGAGAAAAGAAAAAACAAAGAAAAAAAGATGGGGCGAAGATGAAGAGCGAGGACGAAAAAAAAGGTAATCAAACGTAAGAAAGCCGACGCGCGCGAGCGAACCTCCAACCCTCGTCGGGGGTTGATTGATTGACTTCAGACGTAGTGGTTTAGGGCAGGCCTTGTTGAAACCCTAATGGTCATTAGGAATTTTGCTTGACTCTGAGCGTAGTGGTTTAGGGCAGGTCTTGTTGAAACCCTAATGGTCATTAGGAATTTTGCTTGACTCTGAGCGTAGTGATTTAGGGCAGGTCTATGGTCAGAGATTATGCAGAGTGGTGGTGGTGGTGTAGTAATAGTGTAGTAGTGCAGTAGTGCACTCAATATTTCAGTTTGTATTCTTGTTGTCTATGAAATGACTTCAATATGACTTGTTTGATTAAGAAAAGTGTAGTGATTGATGTTTGCATAGCAAAAGTGTAGTGTGGCGCAATTTTGCCTTATTTGAGTAAGGAGATGTGTAGTGATTGATATAGTGGACACTTGGTTGCATAGCAAAAGTGTGGTGTGGCGCAATTTTGGCTTATTTTGATAAGAAAAGTGTTGTGTTGAATTGGTGGACATTTGTTTGTGCAGCAAAAGCATAGTGTTCTCTATGGTGGACGCAATTTTGGCTTGTTTGTGTAGCAAAAGTGTAGTGATTGATATAGTGGACATTTGTATAGGTCCGCAATTTTGACATGTTTGTATAGCAAAAGTGTAGTGTTTTGATATAGTGGACAATTGATTAGGAAATTTGTAGTGTCCGCAATTTTGACATGTTTGTGTAGCAAAGTGTAGTGTTTTGATATAGTGGACATTTGCATAGGTCCGCAATTTTGACATGTTTGCATAGCAAAAGTGTAGTGATTGATATAGTGGACACTTGATTAGGAAAATTGTTGTGTCCGCAATTTTGACAAGTTTGCATAGAAAAAGTGTAGTGTTTGATATAGTGGACACTTGATTAGGAAAATTGTTGTGTCCGCAATTTTGACATGTTTGCATAGAAAAAGTGTAGTGTTTGATATAGTGGACATCTGCATAGGTCCGCAATTTTGACATGTTTGCATAGCAAAAGTGTAGTGTTTGATATAGTGGACACTTGATTAGGAAAATTGTTGTGTCCGCAATTTTGACATGTTTGCACAGCAAAAGTGTAGTGATTCGATATAGTGGACTTTCATAAGGTGTCCGCAATTTTGACATGTTTGTATAGCAAAGTGTAGTGATTTGATATAGTGGACATCTGCATAGGTCCGCAATTTTGACATGTTTGTGTAGCAAAGTGTAGTGTTTTGATATAGTGGACATTTTTATAGGGACGCAATTTTGACATGTTTGTGTAGCAAAAGTGTAGTGATTGATATAGTGGACACTTGATTAGGAAAATTGTGGTGTCCGCAATTTTGACATGTTTGTGTAGTAAAAGTGTAGTGATTGATATAGTGGACACTTGATTAGGAAAATTGTGGTGTCCGCAATTTTGACATGTTTGTGTAGTAAAAGTGTAGTGATTGATATAGTGGACACCTGACTAGGAGAAGTGTAGTGTCCGCAATTTTGACATGTTTGTGTAGTAAAAGTGTAGTGTTTTGATGTAGTGGACAATTTTGTATGGACGCAATTTTTGTGATTTTGTATAGGAAATGTGTAGTGTTTTTTGACATAGTGGACACCTGACTAGCAAAAGTGCAGTGTTTTGATATAGTGGACACTTGACCAGCAAAAGTGTAGTGTCCGCAATTTTGACATGTTTGTGTAGTAAAAGTGTAGTGTTTTGATAT